GGCTCCTGCGGCTGAGGTGTCCGCGAGTGCCCGGGCAAGTCCGGCTACGCCGAAACGTCACCCGCGGAACTCCTTAGACGCTCAAGCCCCCGCCCGTCCGCACTACACTTCCCACAATGCCGCGCGGCTGGAAAGCCTTCATGTCCGCCATTTTGAGTGAGGGCGGAAGGAAGAACCGCGCCCGACTCGACCTCAACAGCGTTTCGCCGATTTCGTTTTTCCCATTTCGGCTCTTACTTGACTGTATATTTTTTGTAATGCCCCGGGCTTTTCTCGGGGGGGTTCTAAGAGGCGGGAACAGTGCCCTGCCCGCACTAAAGATGGCGGAAGGGGCAAGGCACGGCTAAATAAAATGACCGTTCTTCCAGTCCCCCGGGTTGGATTGGTCACGTGATCAGCTTCGCCCACGGCGATTGGCAGAGGCACTAAGGAATCGGCTGGCCGAGCCAATCAGCACTGCGGAGGGCGGGCTTGCGGGGCGGGAGCCATGGCCAATAGGGACAGACGTGATTTGGCGCCTGGTTTGAGTGCGGCGGGCAGGCGCCGGCAGCGACACGGACACGGACACCGGGACCATGTTCCTGACCGACGTGCGCAGGGAGTTCTATGAGGTCATCGTCACCCAGGTGGGATCCGCTGCGGGGCCCGCCCCGGGGTCTCTGATTCCCTGAGCGGGCGGCGCGGGGCGCTCCCGGCGGCTCCTTCGGGCACGTTACGTTTATGGCGCGATGGATGTAAACCGGCCCCACGCGCGAAGTCCGTGTCACGCGATTAATGCTCCGTGGCGCGATCCCCGTCGCACACGCGGAGTCCTTCTCCCACCCCAGAAATGCCGGTCTGTGTCCGGGGCCGGGTTCGCGGCGGCGCGCTTGGACGTGGTACCGTCCGCGGCAGCTGTTTTCGGTCGTTTTGTGTTATTCAGCATCAGGGTTTTCTAGTTAGGCCCCTGCTGATTTGTAAAAGCGGCGGGGTTGCCTGTTTGCAGGTTATTGCAAGCCAGATCTTTTTTTTTTTCCCCAGCATCATGTTATCAAGTCAATGCAAATGTATTATTTTACCCTCATGTAAAATGCGGGTTGTTTGTGTGTCCTGTGGTCCGGTGTGCGTTTCCCCTGGCCTGTGCCAAGAGGCTGAATTAAACAGCAAGAGCCAGTAATGTGCAACGTACCATGTGATCTTTGGCCAGTCCCTCTTTCATAATGACTTGTCCCCTATCCTTATTTTTTACAGCCCTTAGACGGGCTCATGCTCTCATTCCCACTGTTTGCATTCATGTGCTTGTTTGATATCACCTCTACTGCCAGTCCTGATTCCTGTTTGACTTGAAAGATTTTCAGTCTTAGGTGTAGAAACTGAAGTTGTTGGAAATGACTGTGGGGCACGCATCGAGTATCATGTATTAATGCTGTTTTCTAATGTTTTGCAGCGTGTTCTTCTTCTCATTGCTTCAGATGTAGATGCATTATGTGCGTGTAAAATACTCCAAGTAAGTGAATGTTTGTCCTTATTTTATATACTGCTAACAGAGGAAAATATATGGGAAAGAG